CCCTTTGGGTATGCTATCAAAAATGAAAAACCCTTAAAAGGTATTTTAGAATATGAAATATCCTCTTGGTATTTTAGTTTGCTTGTTAAACGGTACACTACAAAACCTAGTGGTTTAGCAGCTGCAGAAAAACTTGATTTCGTTTTCTATATTTCATAGGGAACCAAAATGGGTTTTGTACGCAAAACGCTATACCCTTTTGGTTTTTGAAAATACCGATTTTTTTTAGAGAGTATGCTCGCAGCGCATTTGCACGATGATGAACACATTAGTATGGATATTGTATGGATGGTGATTGACAAGCTTCGAGAAGCGATTCTTCTAGCAAAGGAGCATGATATCGAAGGTAAATAAATTATTCCACTCGAGGAGAAAAAATTCTGTACCAAAATTTGTTATGATTCTCTCTAGGCGAAGCGCAGGCATGCCATTACACGGCTAATGTGTATGAACGGATTATTAAAATGGCTGAAGTTGCATATATCTATCATTTGCGTTGTGTTACACTGGCACAGACTATGATACCACGTATTTTGACTGGCGTCGATTGGTATACGACGAGTAGTACATTCGTTCAAAAGTATCGCGAGCGCAAAGCATGCGAGGAAGAAGCGATCGACGAGAAGTTGATGAACCAGTTGAGAACCGAAATGGCGTCCGAATTGATTGAACTCGACAACACAGCCAAAAAGGGTACACATGACTTTCTTGAACACATCTACAAGGTGCATCCACCACGCAAAGAAGGTGCTACTATGGGCCCGCTGGATGCCAATCAGCTAAGCAAAACGGTCAAGAAGGCTTTATTACATTATCATCCAGATAAACAAGTGGCTGAAGATGATGCCAAGTGGAAATTTCTTTGCGAAGCAATCACCAAAATTTTAAGCCTAAAATATACTCTGCTCGATTCTTAAAGCCCACATTGTTTAAGTAGTTTGCAAAAATAAATAGGCGCAAAGCTCAAATGATCAAAACGTGCAATCAGTTTTCCTGAAATTTTCAAATAGCTGCAGAATAAGAGTAATCACAGCATTTGTACACTGGTAAGGTGCCACTAATTCAAAAATTGCGCAAAACTTTTTTCGCAAACCCTGACTTACTACTCAAAACACGACTAACGGGGGAAGGTCACCAACTATCTAATCGTTTTTTTAATGAAATCCACTGGCTTTTAGGTAATCGATTATGTTGATTTCGACTATCAACATGAGACGGGCCTATAAGCCTTCAGAGACGGGTTTTCTAGAAAACCAGTTTTCCAGAAACTCCAAAAAATCTCTAAAAGTTGTTTTACTAAGTCGTGTTGTAGCGCGCGAAATTCTGATCAATTTCGAGCTGGATCGGCGAAATTGCACTTGGACAAGTCTAGTCAATCGTGGATACTAAAAGCAGCTAACAATACACCTGTCAATGTACACACTTTATACAACACTGTATCATCCGACGCTGATTAAATCATATGAAGTTGATTATTTAAAGTCCATTGCGAAGTGACAGAAGACCTACGACGATGCTCTACGTAAAGAACAATATCAATTAGGTGATATCGTTGGACGCAAAATTGATAAAGTTGATCGTACAACTCTTCAAGCTACAAGTGAAGAGCAACTTCTTCAAGTGCGTTATTTTAAGTTTTTTCCACGTGAACATTTATATTTACAGATAATTCTCTTCCAGTTTATGTAGTCCACATTTTGTGTAAACTATATGGCAGACACGTGCGTGATTGA